GTAGTAGTAGTAGTAGTAGTAGTAGTAGTAGTAGTAGTAGTAGTAGTAGTAGTAGTAGTAGTAGTAGTAGTAGTAGTAGTAGTAGTAGTCGCCGTAGTAGTAGTAGTAGCAGTATTTTTAATTTAAAAGACATATTGTTAGTGTTATTAGATCTAGTATTATTATCAATATCATGATTATGATTTTTTGTCTTCCCCTGCTAGGTCTCAGAGATACTCGACCTTCCTTGAACCTGCGGTGCAACTAATTTTACGTTTCTGACCGTCTTAAGCCTCCAGGAAGTTACATTCCGGTTTCCAAGGTAGCCTACTCGAAAATATTATTATACTGATTAGAGTATTTCAGTTTTGACATGTATTAAATTTTTTCAATTTACGCGGATGGCGGCCGAAGCCTATTCGTATCGGTTTTAGGGCAGTCAAGGGATCTTTAATGAGCTCAACTTGCACCCGGGACCTCCGAGATTTTTCGCTTTTATCCCAGAAGGCTTGGTGTTCGATCTTACCTACGATACTCTGAGATCAGGGGTGTGGCTGAAAGACGGCAGCAAGAATTGAGACTGGAGGAGCAGTACATGTACTTGTAGAAGAGTTAGAAATACAGAAAAGGGGGTCCGGGGGTAGACAGGGGTTGGGGAAGAGAGTGGAAATTAAAGCAAATGACAGATCATGGTTAGAGAACAGGAAAGAAGGTGAAGGGAGAAAGTTTTAGAGAAGAAAATGTTTCCGTCGCTGTCAAGTCTCGAATCCGGGACGAATTGGGAGAGGGGCGTAACCGTACCTCTAGACCACAAGAGCTCCCCCCCCCCTCATTATTATTAGATTATATATGGCCTACACTTTCCCGAGCAGCAGTAGTGTGCACCATCATCATGGGTCATGAATAATTGTTCCTGAATTATGTAAACCAGTCCAATACAAATTCTGAATCTTACGAATTGACAGGATGAGTGCCTCGCAACTGTTGCTTTGACATGGCCTCCTCATAATTACCATACTTTTAAAGAAATATATATTTTTAAATATCCCCATACTTCCCCCTTCCCTCGAAATTTCGCACAATACAAAAATCCCCCTCCCCACTTGATTTTCTTTTCGGGGAGCGGCTATGAAAAGCTACACACTACACAAAAGTGTTGGATGGGATGCTTTTTGTGGGCTTTTTAAAGGAATTTTTAAACATTTGTTTGTTGTTGTTTTTTTTTGCTTTTCTTAAAAATCTATCCCAAACAGGGTGGAGCCCTTACATCACCCAACAACATTCACAATCAGATTCACATCACGTTTGGCTTATTTAGACCCGCACGATTATCATCTCTGAATTTATCAGAATTTTCCTCTTACTCCAATATCCATCCTTTCAAAAAAGTCTTATGTTCAGTTATACATTCGTGTTTAGCAGCGTTCATTGTTAGGCTCATACCAAAGTACAAAGAATTTGATACGTGTATGATAAGGGCAAGTTTTACCAAGCTTCGGTCGTTCAGTGTGAGCGCGTGACATAGTTTATCAATGACACACATTATGTGATAGTAGATTTAGGTCAATTGTGTTTTCATATTATTAGTTTTGTTGAGCGAAAGGCGCATTTAGTTGTTTGAGAGAGAGAGAGAGAGAGAGAGAGAGAGAGAG